TCTTAATTATTGCCACCTTAAAAAGTACGATAATAAAAATATTAACCAAAAAAAGGAAGAAAAGAAGCTTCCAGCAATCGCATCTGCCCCTCATGTCTCTCTCCCTCTCCCTCTGTCTCTCTCTCTTTCTCCTTCGTTTCAACTACAAACTGCCGAAAATTTAGTCAGTGCTGCCATCTTTTCTCTGTCCTGTATACTCAGTTTTTAGCCCACTAAGGTCTAATTTTTGCCTTCACCACATTACTGATACTCCTTTGGAAAATATATAAAGGTATCTTATAAGCGCAAAATCCAATATGCGCTTTAAGGCTCAGTCAACCTGAATCTTCTGCATTATTTGTAGTCATTGGCTACTATACCCTCCATCATTCAAAAATATTCAAGGACCTTACTCTAGAGGAGAATATGTATAAAAAAAGCAGATAACTACAATATATGTGAGGACTGTTATGATTTTGATAATCATAGAGGGATATGGTAGAAATTGCTAGTTGACACCCAATATCCATTCTCTCTTTTCATAGAAACAAAATTCTGATTTAATTGGGGAAAGCAATGTGCCCAGATTATAACACAAACAAACAAACAAATTTTACATTTTGCAGCATTTCTTGCAGTTATCTATAGACATATGATTAAGTTCTGTCCAATAATACGTAAAAGAAAGCATCTGGAAGGGACTTTAAAAGATGTAAGGAATGTTTGCTTCTGTTTCTCTTCATTCTTACTGTCTGGAATATAAAATCTATAGCTAGAGTTGGAGAAGCCATATTTTGACTTTGATATAAATGAAAGTCAGAACAAAATGATAATAAAGCAGAAAGACAAAAGTGCCTGATTCCTTGATGACTTTGTGAAGCTGCCCTAACAGTCCTGGGCTGCCCTTTCTCAGGCTCTTTTTATAGAGACAGTAAACTCCCAAGTTGTTTAAACTGCCACAACCAAGTCTTTGTATCTGATACAGGAACATTAGAATCACTCGTGTGTAGAAATAAACTCTTTCTTGATCTCTGTCTCAGCTATTTTTCGTCTTATTCAACATACTTTCACTGGATGGTCCCATCTATTTCTCCTTCATCTCTCTCTCCTAAGTTCCAGAACCATATACCCAACTTCTCCTAGACCTTCCTCTTCAGATGCTCCTTAGTCACTTAAACACAACAAGCAAAATCTGAATGACTTGTCTTACCCCTCCTAATCTGCTCTTCCTTCTATATATAGCTTTTGGTTAATGACGCCACTCTTGATTAAGCTGTTAAATCTCAAAACCTTGGAGGGTAAGTCTTAATTCTTCCTTCTTCTTCATCCTTAACATTCAATAGACCGTTGGTTCTAATTACTTCTACCTCAGAATTTTTTCTTGCATGGATACACTCTTCTCCATTCTCAGCAATATTGCCTTAACCCAGGTTCTCATTGTTACTCACTTGGACTATTTTTAAAAATCATTCCAAAATAGGCCTGTGTCCTCCAGTCCCTCATCTTTCCAATCTATCACCACCCTGTCAAAAAGAGTTAACTTCCAAATACACAGATCTGTTTATGCCCATCTCAAACAGAAAAATTTTCAATTACTCTCAATTGCCTACAGGGTAAAGTTAAAATGGTATAAATGATCTTTTTGAAACAGCCTCGGTTTTGTTTGAAGCTTTTCTTCTATTCCACAGCCCCCAAAACACACACCAACACTACCAGTACAATTGTTTCCTGTCACATCAGACTGTTTGCAATTTCCATAATATTCCTTATCTTTTCCTTCCTCTATCTTTTTACTTCAGTTGTCGCATCTATCTTGAATCCTTTTCCTCTCCTTCCCCCATAAGTATACATTTATTTTTTACTTATTAATTAAAGCCTAAATTAGAGTCAAATCACTTACAGAGCTTCCTCTTGCCCACTTGCCACATCGGTAGAATTAATTATTCCCTCACATCTTACTATGTTCATACCACTATTATGTAATTTATAACATAGTTTTGTAGTCATTTTTGTATAGTTAGGTACATTTTATGTGTCTTAATTTTGCATGCATTTGAGCATCTTAAGGAGGCATCATATATTCATTTTTGCATCCCCTACATGTTCTACAATGTATGGCACAGAGAAGATGCTCGATTCATAGTAGAGGACTGGACTAATTACACCTTAGTTGCCTTATAAGTGAAACATGTAACTTCAGGATAAGTGCTTTCAGATCAATGTAAGAACGATTGGAAAAGAATTTTAATCAAATGATCTATTATGAGAATGGTTGTCAAATTCCTTTATGGTATGAATTCATCTTCTTTATCCTAGACCCTAATACCCCATACCCAGAAAGCACTCAGCCCATTCACTCCAGAAATGCATTCCATTCATACCTACTTCCTTTTAACCAAGTATATCTGCTAAAAGTAATATTTCATGAACTTGATTTTGGAATGCAAACTTTACTTAGTGAACTTTGAATAGTCAGTAGTTTTTTGTTTGTTTCTTTGTTTTTGTGAGGAAGATCAGCCCTGAGCTAACATCTATGCCAATCCTCCTCTTTTTTTTGCTGAGGAAGACCGGCTCTGAGCTAACATTTATTGCCAATCCTCCTCCTTTTTTTCCCCAAAGCCCCAGTAGATAGTTGTATGTCATAGTTGCACAGCCTTCTAGTTGCTGTATGTGGGACGCGGCCTCAGCATGGCAGGAGAAGCGGTGCATCAGTGCGCGCCCGGGATCCGCACCCGGGCTGCCGGTAGCGGAGCGTGCGCACTAACGGCTAAGCCACGGGGCCGGCCCAAATAGTCAATAGTTTTGAATACCAAATTTCTGTAATTTTTAATGAGTTTCCCTGCTTTAGAATCATGCTTATTACTTTTTAAAGGCCTCAAAAAAATGATGACTTAGATTAGACCTTCTTTTCAATTTAAAGAAGAAAGAAAAACAAGATGAGAACTCAGGGTCACTGAGAGATTAGAGCAAATGTGCTTTGGCATACGTAAATAATATGTATTTTAAAAGCTCTCCAGGATCTACCTGTACGCAGATGGCAGTATGGCATGTAAAAGGGGGCATGCTCCCTTTCTTCAAATTTATTTTTTCTAATGGGAAATTGTGAGTGAATGATGATAAATAGTTTTGGATTTGCAATGCTAGTCCTCATTTTACATAATGACTCAGCTTTCAAATTGTAAATCATGGATTCTACATGGCTTATGCCTAATCTATCTGTAAAATATGTAAAGTTGATGAATTTGAATCATCATACCGAACAAGAAGGAATACAAATTTAATTTATACATCTGGAGGAAATTATATTTTGGAGGGACAATTAACAGTAATACATTTTTAACAGTTATATATAAGCTGAGCTTCTATCAATATATTTTTTTGAAAGCTTAGTTTCAGACAATATGAAGAAGTAACATATAACCGGAAAATAAAATTCATATGGAAATAGACCTTGTGGATGAGAGTGAATGTGTGAAATTGAGAAAAGTAAACAGACAACAAACTTGGGTCTCCAAATAAACCTACTTTTTACACATTTAAAGTAGTATAATGTTAAAAGAGAAAATGAAAACTGAATGTCTAGTAGTCCAAAATAAAGACATATTATTTTTAAATGTATATGTATGTATATATATAAACGCTGTGTGTATCTATTCATGTCTGTATGTATACACGCATGTATTCACACACACATTTCCTTTGAAAAGTGACAGGGCACCAATATTGTACAGGTTGTGTTGATTTGTGTTTTTGTTTTTGTAAAATTTGAATATCAAGGAAACTAAATCACTTTTTTATCTCTAATAATTAGTATACCTAATTTCCAAATTATTCACTTTTCATCTGTGCTCTGCAGTTTCATCATAGATTCAAGGTTGTCCACCTGAACAGAGAAGACATAGGCCTTTCCAGGTAAACCCCAGTTCTGACATTTACTAGTATGACCTTGGGAAAGCTATTTAACCTTTCTGAATTTCATTTGTTTCAAGTGTTAAAGAAAACAAAACAAGCCAAAAAGTAATCTGTCTGACATGCTATTGTGAAGATTAAGTAAGAAAAAACATAGTTAAGACACAGCGAGTCGATAAGGATTAGTTGGCTGCCCTCTACTCTTGATGGTAATTCTTTGCTTGTGGTTTGCAGCTGCATTCTTTTTAAGAATGTTAGTTCATTGAGGGAAAGCACAATGTCAGGCTACAGAAATCCCAGATGTTACAAATTTATGAGTATGCTGTTATCATTTTTAAAAATTTGCTCTCATGAATATAACTTCCTAGAATGCTCATGATGTTTCACTTTAACTTAAATTTATACTCTTGGCCCATGTCCTTCTCAAAGTCACTGATAACCAAATCCAATATAGATATCAAACATTATTTTATTACCATATTCACTCTAGAGAAATTATCTACTGTTATTAAAAGATGAGAAGGATAGTTAGACATTATTTCTACCATGGTCATTTTATAGCAGTTTGAAACAGGCTTACCAGAGAATTTATGAAATTTCCTCTAAATCTATAATGACCTATCAGACTCCACTTCTACAACTACATATAGAAATAAAAGTTTTGAAGACTTGAATTTCTATGTTATAGAAAGGAATAATGGGAAAATGAATATCAATTAATAATAGTAAAGCAATTATTTCACTAATTTGCAATTCCACATGAATTTATTTTATAAAAATTACAAGACTCAGTTCAGAGTTTTATCTGTACACTTTCTAAAGTCTGAAAACCATGCTCTAAATTAACATCCATTTCTTACCCAAGTGGTTTACAAAACCTGATTCACTCTAAAATCTCTGAAGTAAATAAAAACAAGTTGTACCAGTTAATATTTCTTTAAGAAATCTGGCAAGATTTCTTGCTAATCTAATTGCATGCAATTTTATACACTCCAGTTGAGTTTGTTCTAACCTACATGGACCTAAGTGATTTGGTGGGGTGAGGAGGAGTGTAGCTGCTTTGTTTCAAGCATCTTCCACGTGTGATAGCGTAAGTGCTGGGCAGTACTCACAGCTGACATGATGAGCTCTCCCCCCAGGTTCTGGATCTCAGCTTTAACTTGACTGCAGATTTTCAGTTGGTGAGAGTAGAACTTAATCTGTTCCAAGTAGGCCAACAAGTCTTGTTTGCATGATGGATCTGGACACTAAATAGCATAAAAGATAAAAATTAAAATAGCAAAATAAACAATAAGCAGGTCAGAGTGAGTCAAGATTGGCATTGCAGGTACCTTGTAAAGCAGCAACTTTATTTTCATTGAGCCTCATTGCTCAGACCAAACCCATGTAGATTCTGCTATGCTTCTACCGTTAGAAGAGTTTGTTCGTGTTTCAATCTTAGTTACTTCAGCATAGACAAAAGAAATAGCAAAGGAATTTCCATACATGAAAAGGCACATAAAGTAATTGCCTTTAATTTATAATAAGGTTAGAAGATTTCAGATTATATTTTTAGGTAAATCGAAAGAAATATTTAAAACACAATTATTCCCTTCACCTAGAGTTGCTATTAGAATATTCCTTGGGATCCATAGTTCTGCCTTGTCTGCTTTTGTTATTTATATGGACATAAAAAAAATCTGCAACAAAGCACATCTTATGTTCTATTACTTTCAGCATTTACTTTCAGCATTTCTTGGCTATTACAAACAAAAGAAACCATTTCCACCTTATATAACAGCTGTAGGTCTACCTGGAGCCAAGAAACAAACAACACACGTTTTAGAGGTGTATCAAATTTCTTTACCAAAAACAGTCTCCCACATTTTATTATCCACTTTAAATACACTTTCATAAGGACATGGAAATATGAACAGTAATTTATATGCAAAGCTATTCATTGCAGCATTACTTATTGTAGCAAAATTTGGAAATAAGTTAAATGTCCTACAATAGTGGCAAGATTAAATAAGAATGCATATTTGTATAAGGTGATATTATAGTCTCAAGAAAATAATATTTTCAAAGGGTATAGGAAAATGTTTTTGGAAGGTGAAAAATCTCAGTATTAAAAATTTCATATACTATCTCAATAAAATTGTGTAAAAAATATGTTGTGCTGGTGTTTAAAACACACTGGGAAATAAATATATGAAAATAAATAAACACGATACAATCAATAATTTTCATTTTCTTATCCTTTTGCATATCATAAAATATATATTACTTCTATAATTATAAAAATGTTATTGTCAACAAAACTTTAATTCTAATGGCCTAAAATGCAAATTAAAAAGTAGGATGAGGGCCAGCCCCGTGGCTTGGTGGTTAAGTGCGCGCGCTCCGCTGCTGGCGGCCTGGGTTCGGATCCCGGGCGCGCACTGACGTACCGCTTCTCTGGCCATGCTGAGGTCGCATCCCATGTACAGCAACTAGAAGGATGTGCATCTATGACATACAACTAGCTACTGGGGCTTTGGGGGGAAAAAAATAAAAAAAATAAAAAATAAAAGAAAACTGCAGGTCCTTCCGAAACACATTTCAGTGCGCTGGCTTACTTCAGCTTCATTGCGTTGGGGAAAAAAAAAAAAGAAAGAAAGAAAAAAACAAAAAAAGTAGGATGAAAGATCAGAAAGCATTTCTTGCGTTTCCGTTTTTATCTACCAGTTAATAAGCTAGAGTGTTGTTGGAAAATTCCTGACAATCTTGTTCTTTTTTATATTTGCTAAATAGACTCATCTACATAGCTACAGAATGCGTGGACAAGATGAGAACATGTGACCCCTGAGTCAAAGTTAATCAACAAAGGTAGCAAAGAAATAAATTCTTCTGCAGAAATACTATCAATCTGCTAAACAGGCATGGACGTATGAATGGGTATATAGATACAAGATAACCAGCCAGAGAGACAATCAGACAAGATGATAGAGAGACCTTGACATTAAGGGTGTTTCCTAAATTTTAAACAAGGAAGTAAGGGGAAGCCCCCAAATCTCATCAGGAAGATTAAATTGTAACTAATTAATAAGGAGGAGAAGAAGGAGGAAAAGGAGAAGGAGAAGAAGAAAGACTGAGAGAAAAGGGGGAAAAGGGGAGGAAGAGGAAGAGGAGAGTAAGAAGGAAGAGCAAGGGATTTCCCCAATTTATAGATGCGAAATCAGAAATCTAGAAAGCATGGTACTTTTCCCAGGATTGAAGAGCTTGTGTTAGAGCCAGTATTTGAACCCATATCTATTTGCTTTCAAATCTATTTTATTTTAAATCACTAAACTTAAGAGAATTTGGAGTGCAATTTTTTTCTATCACAGAATACTGTGGGCTGCACAGTTTCAAGGAAAAAGAATTCATAGGGACACTATGCCTCCAGTGCTGTTTTGAAGTGAAGAGTGCTTAGATTTTGTAAAAGACCAATTTTTTCATAACTAACTAATTTCAAAATCAGTTATCTAGAATTACGTATAATGATGAAAGGCGAGTCATTTCATTGTTTTCCCATGACAGGAAGGTGAACTTTATTAAGTACTTCCTATGTGCCAGGCACTGTGCCATGTCCCTTACGTGCACAATTCTAAGTTAGTACTCACAGTATCATTTTAGTTAGATCTAATTATTGTCATCTTGCACATTTGCAAACTAAGCTTTGGATAGAGTATATGATTTGTCTAAAGATTTGAATTTAGTTTCCTCTGTTTCATTCACTGTACAATGATCTCTTCTACATGACATTCATTCAAAACACCGTTTTCTTTGTCTGTCCTCACAGAGTAATGGTCTTATCTAGTCCTTGTTCCTCTGGATGGACTCAGTGATAATCCCTGACGCATATAGTGTTCTATCTGTCATATACTATTCTAGGTGCTTTACTTATATTAACTTTTTTAATAATCACACAACTCCATGAGGTACGTTTTATCATTATCCCCATTCAGCAAAGGAGGAAACTGAGGCACAGAGAAGTTAATTGACTTGCCCAAATAATAAGCAGTAGAGTTCATATTCAAACTCACGTGATCTAGCTCCACTTCCCTACCTTTACGGTCTAGGAAAAATATCAGTCTTCCTGCCAGTTTTATCTTATATTGTAAACAGCAAATTGCCACTCTGATTTGTAAATTGTTTCTTAAATTGACTCTCTTATTTGTAAATTATAAAAAGCATTAGTGTGGATTTTTTTCTTTAAATGCTAACATCACTATACAACTTCTGATAAAATTGAAGTTAATAATTAGATTCTTAACCAATAACCAATGTTGCAATCATCCAAGTTTAAGCAAAATATACAGTCTCTCAAGTGATGCTTTCAAGGCCATACTAGAAGAGTCTAGAATTCTGTTAATGAAAGAAGGAGTCAAATGAGTGGAAAATTTGAAGTTGAACTTTTGAAATTAAAAGTTGCTTGACCCAGACCTACCCTTCATTCGCAGAATTGATGGGAATCTTGGTTACATCTAAAGATGGCAGTCGGTTTTATAACTGAAGTAGAAAAACATACTAATTGATAAATTCTATACAATAAAATTTATTAATGTCTTCTTTCCCATTGACATTTGGAAAGCCTTTCTGAGTTGATTTTGGCTGCCTAGAAGCAGACTCAGGAAAATGAATCATTCCCGCTTTAAGAATGCCCTTCTCCGGCCGGCCCAGTGGCTTAGCGGTTAAGTGCGCGCGCTCCGCTACTGGCGACCTGGGGTTCGGATCCCGGGTGCGCACCGACGAGCCGCTTCTCCGGTCATGCTGAGGCCGTGTCCCACATAAAGCTACTAGAAGGATGTGCAACTATGACATACAACTATCTACTGGGGTTTTGGGGAAAAAAAAGGAGGAGGATTGGCAATAGATGTTAGCTCAGAGCGGGTCTTCCTCAGCAAAAAGAAGAGGATTAGCATTGATGTTAGCTCAGGGCTGATCTTCCTCACAAAAAATAAAATAAAATAAAATAAAATAAATAAGAATGCCCTTCTCCTACTTACCAAACCTCCTTTATTAAAATCAAATAATGTTTTCCCCACCTTTTATATTTTTACATGAAGGTGATAGAAAAAGCTTGGGCCCTGGATTTGTAGAATATTTAAACCTTTGACTTTTTTGTGAATAAAATTTGCATAAATATAACTTTTAAAGGAACACTCCTAGGGACTTTAAGGCAAATCAAGTGGTAGGCTATCCTAACACATTTTGGTTATTATTTGCCAGTTTATTAAGAGCGGAGATGTTGACCAGGACATCTGGTTAGCTTCTTAATGCATACAATTTTTTTTTTAATTTAAGTTTTATAACCACTGGGACACTCACTACAAGCAAGCAGATGGCATGTCAGCCTAACTGGTCTTCTCAGGTTAGCCCAGCTTTCATTCTCCCAGTGAGATGCTTGGTACCAATACAGGACACATGAGTTATTAATGAGAGGAGAAGCGAAAAACATTTATTACCTTTCAGTTTGAATTTTAAGGGTGCATTCACAAAGTGAATACTTTTAAGTACATTTCTTCCATAAGCTTAAGCTATTTTTTGCCCATATTGGAATATAAACTTTATTTAAGACACATTTAAAATGACTTTTGCAATTACAGACAACAGTTTAAATTCTGCTAAGCTGGCAAAGTCTGTTAATGAAAAGTATTAGGTGTCACTGTGAATTTCTAGAATAGAAATTTCAAGCAGTCAGTGATAGCAAAGGCAGTCTGTGTCTGTGACCTTTCTCTTCCCTCAGAGCTCATTTTTCCACCTGTACTCCAGCCCAGAGGCTGTCTCATTTCACCTTCCTCAGGGTCACAGATCACCAATACTCCACTCTTTTTCTGCACTTTTAATGTCTCCTTTTTCTATCCTTGAAGCTATCAACATAAATTCCCTCGAAACAAAAACCCTCCCTCAACCCTGTAATTCCATCTCTCTCTTTCCTTGCTCATTAACATTCCTTCTAAAACATTTTCAATGCTGCCCCTACTGGTGTTCTCAGCTTTTGTTCTTGGTTATCTTTTCATTCTTGCCCTCTCCTTGGATAATAGTATATGCTGCTCTGGCTTCATCTATCACTTACAAAATAAAAACTACTAAATCTCTATCATCCAGCCCTGTCTTCAGAAGATCCACATACCTATTGCATTTGCCCAGCCCATCTCATCATCTTATCAATATTTCACACACAACACATATAACCCTCAAGTATTTCATACTCCATTTTGCCTACTATAAAACAATTTTTCCTGTTCTATTAACTATCTCAATAAAGAGTGCTTTCTCCCTCTCTCCTATCTGTTAAATTTGGTCAGTTATTGATTTGAGATGATCATACGTGGAAATCTCAGCATCCTTTGAAAGTTTTTCTTCTTTGCTATGCTTTTCATAGCTGTTCTTTACAAAACTGAGGTCTCTAAAACACAGAAAGAAAGGTATCTAGGGAAGTATGCTTAAAAAGTACAATGGAATTCTTTTATGATATCAGCAATGGAGGACAACATTGACTCAAATGGTCTAGACTGGCCACGCTGACTTGTGAGAGTTATATTTAGGAAACTGGTTTGGCATTTTTCAATGTATAAATGTTGTTTTACGAGAAATTATATATGCTGTTCAAATTTTGTCATATCTCCCTATTTAGACAAAAATTCTCTTAAGTTTAAGAATTGTTTCAAATTCATTTTTAGTTTCATCTTGGTTTGGACATACGGCCAATAAGAAAATGCTATCGGTGACGTATACTTTGAACACTAATACAAATGAAAGACAAGGATGTTTTCCATCTTCATGAAAACTCCTTTCCTTTAATAGGTGTAAATTTCTGGCCCAACCTACTTTTCAGCTTTATGTTGACTTCCACTGGAAATTCTCAGGATTGACTTCCCTATATATTAGATTACAATTCAAAAAATATCATCTCCCTTCCTGAAACCTGAAATTTGTCAACTGAAGAGTTACTTGGGTTGAAACAAACTTACAAAAATGTTTACCCTGTATATAGAATAAGAATGCAGAAAGGATGGTGGAAACTCAGACAAATTTCAATTATTTGGAATTTTTGGTTAAAGATAGCCACCTGTAAGGAGAAACTTTCCTCATTTTTCCTTTTCCCCTCCTATACCAAATAACTCCTTCCCCATGAACCCTCAAACACCTTATTTTTGGTTCCTATGGCCATAGTTTTGTACACATGAAATAAAACTGAATATATAATCACTCTCAATGCATTTAAGACATTATATGAAAAAGATCCAAAAAAGGGAAAAAAATAGTAAAACAGCATGCCTTTAAACAGGACACTATTATTTCAAGGATACAAACACACCAAATATTTAGTTTCTACCCATTCCTATTTAATTCCTGAGAACATCCAATGCATTTATTTTTATAAAGTAGGGATTTATTAATCTGGAGAACAAATATAAGTATTTATATCTCTGCTCAAAATAAATTTCAGACAGATAATAGTATCAAAATACACATATCAGCACAAGATGCATCTAGGATTTATATCCTTAAGAGACATGTTAGAATGATATCATGAACACTTCAGAAGTTTCTTTTTAGTATAGTTCAATTACAAAAAATTCTCGACTTTCATAACATCAGCAGGGAAACAATTAAAATGAGGCTAGTCACCAATAACATTTTGTTGAAATATCAATATAAATTACACTTGTAGGTTGTTTTGTTCATAGTTGAGTGCATTGTGTATGATTTGGCTTGTAATTCTTTATCTTCCTTTTTAAATGTCATCTTTTCTTGAATTAGCATTGGCTTTCAATGTATTTAACAGTGAAAATTAATTTTAATTGTGTTCGGTTGTGATTAGGCGGGAGTACTCAGCCAACAATGGGGATATCTTTGCTTTGGCAAAATTACAGTGAAGGAGTATTAGGCTTCAGACACACCACCCAGGGGTCAGAAAGTCTAATTTTGTCCTTTCCTCCTGCAAAACATGTTAGCAGATATTAATTTCATTTTGGCTCCTATTCGTTTCTTTCTATGTGGGGTATCCTGCTTCTATAACCAACTGATATCTTTTTGTGTATTATTCCTACCTTGTGAGGTGTTATCCAGTTCCTCTAATTTAGACTATCTGCTAATATGATGAATTACAGTGTAGAATAAAGTCACAGAAACAGATGTGTGCTAAGAATCTGGAATCTTGGATTTGTAAGAAGAGTACTTCTCTAATTTGCCATTCCCTTTATTTATGAGGAACATGTTTACGAACTGTGATAGCTAACATATCTTGTCCTTTAGGAGTATACTGTCTAATGGAGACAAGATTTGTACCAGAGTTCTACAGGACTTAAACAGTATGATCTTGGTATATATAATCTACCACACCATCTTAAGACACTTCTAAAGCCCAAGCCATGTTGAGTAATTGGGACAAGTAAGCTTACATTAGAGTTCTGGTTGTTTAAACAGGTTTTATAGTTCATCTCTTCCTAGCTATCTAATGGCAATGCCAGAGTAGTGAATTGTATGTGGTTACACACAACAAACATCTATTCAAGGAAGCAAGGCAGGGAAGGATTCAAAAAAAAAAAAAAGAGAAGAAAGTCCAGGCAGGCAGAAATAGAAGCCTGAATTAATCTGATTTTATCTTATTCTCTCTACATATGAACTTTGACTCTGAAACGTTATAGAATGAAACTAAATTGGTCTAACACCATACATACATATATCACAAGTCCATATTGGGTAGAATTGAAAATTGACTGATGTTTGACCTTCTGACACTCTAGTAAAAAACATACTAGAAAGAATCATAAAAATTTGGAAAAATTTTTTGAACTAATAGATTGTTCAAAAATAGAAAACAACCAACGTTCTGGCAGACTTTTTTTCATAACATACGTGAACACTGTGAAAATCGCCTTGCTTATATTATTCATATGTATTCCACAATTTCAGATATTATTTTCTAAATTTTTTTATGTTAATCTATCAAACAATATCAGAAGCACAGTCATAGATAATCTGCCCAGATGATCGCTGTAAGAGGCAGTTCCTTTATTCTCAATTTTGATTCTTCACAACCCTATTTGTTCAGAACAAAAGTAATTTATTTGAAACTACTCTACTGTACGAAGTGGAAATGGCTGAACAGAGTCATCCATAATTCTTTATCAGTCAGTGACTGTTTCTTTACACTTCTCTTAAAATGTAAAAACTATATCGACGGGAGACGATACTTTTGTTTTCTCTCATGCATTTTAAATAATGCTAAAAAAATGGCATAATTTAATAAAGCTATGTTATAAAAGTACCTACTGCAAAGTGATCTAATACAATTAAAGACGAAGATCAAGATAAGAAAAAAACTTCAGTGACACAATTATTTGAACTTTGAAAATTGTACATTCCAAAATAAACTGAAGCACACTGGTAGGAATTTAAAAAGTTATCAGTACATGCAAATCTGTCGGATGCATTACGGTTTCACTTATTCTACTATTATTTACTCTCTCATAAAAGTGAATGAAATAAAATTCTAAAATACAGAAAACCATAGGCGGATTTGGGCTTCAATCATTTATTCATATTAGATTTGAATTATATTAGGATAGAGTTTGTTTTTAACTGTAAATACTAAATACTAAAAATATCAATAAAATGTTTATAATGCTTAAAGCAGCAAAATACTGAAAATATATATATATTCAAGGAATGTTTTGAAATATTTGTTTCTGTTATTATTATTCCTTATTGTTTCTCTTCCCTTATATCCACATATCTACTAAGAGAAAGTTCATGTTTCAAAAAACAGAGGATAAAAAGAGTAAATAATAAGAAACAGCTCAATAAAGTTTCCCTCAGTAAAGTTTCCCTGAAAGTATACAACCAAGAAATAATATGGAATAGTTGCAAAGTCAAAAAGAAAAGTGCTTTTATCCCAAAGGGAGATAAATACATATTATGAAGTTGAATAATGTAAAACCTGCAAAGGAATACTATATTTTGGTCTAAAATATTAATAGAATTTATTAACTAAAGAAACTGACAGATTTTTCAATTAAAGGTAGACAAAAGGTAACTCCAATAATGTAGTTGTGGCTTAGAAAATTGGAACAGAGATTTGAGAAATCTAAAGAAAGGAAACCAAGTGTTCAGAAACTTTTAGCTTCAGTCTCTATAAGGATTACACACTTTCCAAATTTTATATCTTCACTTTAGTATTCTACTAATTACCGTTTGTCTTGTAATTTTACATAGAATGCCAGACTACATTGTTGACACAGAAAACCTAACATAATAGAATTCTGAAAGGCATTGATGTTTGAAAAGCAAAAAATAAAAAATCTAAGATATTAAGGAAAAAATACTAACATTGGATATTATAGCCAGTGAAAATAATTTGAGTACATTTGAAACTCAAAAAGCTGATATTTAAAATAATCTGAATATATTTGAAGCTCAAACTAAGAAATAATCAAACCCTAAATAATAATAATAATAATGATAATAAAGCCCTAAGAAATAATTGTGTCCTTAGAATGAATTGTTCACTACTTGTGTATTAATTATGCAATAAAATTAAAAAATAATTTAATAATAATTTAGGAAAAATTGATCCAATAGACTAAAAATCCAACTTTGTTCTAATCAACGTCACACGGCAGAGAGCGATTAGCATGGACTTTTCACCAGGTCTATCTGTAGAGAACTCACCTGGTTGGCAATCTGCCGAGCCAGGACGTCCATCCTTGATCCTGATTCTGATATCATTTTAGCTGCATAGATCACTTCAGTTGTATGCTTCAGTGGTCCTTTGCCCCTTAAAGTAAAAGAATACATATTAGTTGCAGTGGTTCATGCTAAGATACACATAAACACACACACACAAAAGATTTGCACTCCAAAGTACTGGCCATTGGCTTTATATACTTCAATTTTGGATAGGCCCCAATTAGACACCAGAATTAAATGAAAAATAAAAGAAGGCCTATTGTGTTAAGATTCGGGAACTACTGCCAAGGAAATGGACTCCATCAGATCTTGGTTCCCTGGTGTTTTTTATAGTAAACCTCAGCCTAGAGATACTCTTGGTGGATGTAGATACCTCAAGGCAAAGGTATTTTTCTGATTCTAGGAAAAAACATGAGATTTTGGATATTACATATGTTCAACAGTGCATTTTGGTCAGCAGGGTTACTTTTAATCTTTTTCTCTTTAGTTCTTTTTACAGTCTTTCAGTTAGTTGCATTTTGTTTTTATCACATTATCTCCTGTCCACAATTAATTCATAGTAATATCACAGTAGTTGAGTATGAATCTGGAGTCAGACTACCTTGGACTGTTTCCCCAAAACAGTCCCTTCCTACTATTTCTGCTAGTCAAGCAAGATAAATACTCCCTCTGTGCCCTGTTTCCTTGGTAGTAATAGGAGCACCCACCGTGTGGAGTCATTCTAAGCATGACCTGAGTTAATTCCCACAAAGTGCTCAGAACATTGCTTTAACCAAAGTAAGCATTCGGCAATACAAGTAGCGATTGCTGTGGTTGTTACTTTAAAATAATTTTGGTTCCTAATGCCATGGAATAAAAGTTCGGTTCATTTAGGGATTTTGCAAGGTAGATAAGAAGAAGGAAGTACACGTCTTACATTTTTGGAGTGGGATAACATAAGGAGATGTTTTTCTATCTTCTCTTTCCTCGAAAATAAATGAATGATTGCTTGAATGAATGTAACTATTCCATACACCTAAAACCATTCCTCTCTTTATTTCCTTATGTCCAATTCCTAACCCTCTCTTGAGTGTCAACACAATGGCAGTCCTAATTATTTGGTCTCTGTTCCTTGTCCCTAGAAGAGAATGGGACCCTGAAAGAATCACTCACTAAAGCCATTGTTTTGATGCTTTGAGAGGAGCAAGGAGAGTGAGGGAGGTGGGAAGGAGGAATAAGCTGGTCAGAGTGAGAAAAGGAAGATTTTGAGAGGCCAAAATACAATGGAGTTAGAAGAGAAGGGCAATTAAAACAACCTTTGTCCATGTCTTATTTACACCTTGGACTGATCTTGAGGGTAGATGCCCTAATGTTAAATCTGATAAGATTTGTTATCAGAAGAAAATCTCTGTTCACTAAGGAGAATATCACTATGCAGTAATAGAAGACAGGGGATTCATGCAAAACTACATGAGCAGAGTGTTCTATACCTGAAAACCTCAACACCAAAATGCTTGCGCCTCGTGCCAAAAAAGCCCTTCATTGCGCTTTTTCCATGGTGCCTCTCAAATTCATTATAATCAGGTTTTCCCATAAAAATGGAAGAGCACATCTAACATAATGAAAACCTGGCCTCAGAAAATGGTTATCATCGCACTTCTCCTCTGTGAATCTGCTGCCACAGGTTGCTTTGCAATTTTTTAAAAAACCAACATTAATCATTATAATATTTGAGTTGCTCTTATCAAATTTATTTTATGTATCAGGCAGGACTAGATGTTATGTACATGGTTATGTTGAAGAAAGGCATTGCATTTCATTATTTCTATGCATCTCCAGAGAAAGTTAAACGTAAATAAAACCGTCTAAGCTCCTGATAGGCAATGCATCAATTTTCAAGGTCTTAAACAATGGGCAAAGGTTGTACCTAAGGAGAGCAGCTAACACTCTCTTAACTTAAACAATAGACAAAGAGTTATACCCAAGGAATGCAGCTAATGTACCCTTCCCCTCAAATAATATATTTCCCCATATAAAAACCCTGGGCCGACAAAAGGGAGATTGCCTCTAGCTATAAATGCACACCTTGTTAAGACCACTATCTTAAGCACATGTAGGATTTAAAAGGAACGATAATACATTATGACAGACCACAATTATTCTCTTCCTCATATTCCTAATTAAATGTATTGCCTGGCAAGCTTCCTACTGAGTGCCAAACAAAATACACATTTTACAAATGATTCCACATCATGCCAAGCTTCCAGGGGAAGCTGCAATTACTGAAACTCTGATAAATTTTTAACATTCTCGGCCTGAAATGTGCTATGTAATGAAGGCTTTTTAAATTGGGAAATACATTCAAAGGTTGTTTGCTGCCTTCGTTTTCATAATGGGTTCTCAGGATCTCCTGTCAGCAAATTGTGTCTTAAATCATTGAGTTTGGATCTGACAGAGCAAGATACCCAGAAGAGGAAGGTGTACACTTTGGAAATATTTTAAAGAAACCAGGGGTCGGAAATCTTTAACAAATAGTGCTTACAATAATAATCTTATCTATCTCCCCAAAAGGAGGGCAGATTAAGCTCTGGAGCAGAGTCTGTTAATTAATCATTAAATTATATGTTAGAGCCTATAATGGGAAAGGCTGTAATACCCCAGCAATGTTGATGCCATATGGAAAATGTTATTAAGGCAAGTGAAAGGGATACTTTTAAAACTGAATATATTGGTGCAACATAAACCTGTCAGTCATTTTTTGATGCTGCCCCAACCTTGCCTCTCATTCCTCTCCCAGTTCTCACCCCATTTCGGGCATCCACTCCTCCCTTCCTTCTCTGTTGATCAGTACAAGAAGTAAGAAGATGATACAGCTCATCAGTAACAGCTCAACTAACTAGGGATCTGAATAGAAAATATCAAATAGTTTCATGGACTTATTTTCTCTTTTTAGGGACAGAGAAGATCCATGAAATGATTTGGTATTTTCTGCTACTAATTAAAAGCAAAACAGAAGGCTTAATTATACATTTTGCACTTTGTAGCCCCTAAATCTTCGATAACACAGTATTGTTCCCCTTTTCAAGACTAAAAACTTTCCCATTCATCCTGTCCTTTGGTATTTATATACCAATGTCCATGACATTGTGGTTCACTTAATAGATGAAAACAATGATAGTATATATTTTGTTCCATAATAGTATTTAACACATTTTTTACATGCTAGACACTATTCCATACACAAACTAATTTAACATTATAATAACCCTGTAAGTTTAGAATTATTATTATCCTTATCTCACAGATGAGGAAAGTAAGGAACAGAGATGTTAAATACATCTTCTATCAAGTTACACAGCCAGCAAGTATTGGAGATGGTATTTGAATTCAGGCAACCTGGCTATACAATCTGCTTTTAACGACTATCCTATACGGCTTCCAATACAACAAACTCAGATAAAATTAAAATATTAATTTTAATTGTGAACTAGACCTATTGTGGTGATCATTTCACAATACATACAAATATCGAATCATTATGTTGTACACTTGAAACTAATATAATGTTATATGTCAATTATACCTCAATAAAGAAACAAAAAAAATAAAAAAGAGGAAAGAAGAAAATATTAGAAAGGTCTCCTTTGACATTGACACGAGCTACAATGAATGTAATAGAGAGCAAAGGTGAAGGTTAGATTTTGGCGCTGGGTGGTTAGGAGGTCTACCAACAGTGACTCGCTCACGCACAGCAGCTTTAAAGAACACAGACTAAATCTGTGCCCCAATCCCAACAAAATAAAAATCTGCTACATGACACAGACTTTGAGAGTCATGGCAAACGGCTGAAATGGCACCAGGAGCCTGAAGTCCGGGATTTCTTTCTTAAGATGTTATTACTTTCCTCTGTTACTCATCCTGGTACCCTTCCTTCCTCTCCATCTCCCTGGATTCTAAACAAAAACCTCAAACTCAGCCATTACATAGGCCACGACAGATGGGAGATTGCACTTTGATGTTAATTTATAACACAACAAATAGAACCTTTATCTGAGAATCTTAGTATTTGACATGGTTATTTTATTTAATTCTAACACTCAAATGCAATGCTGTTATAAAGTAGAGTGAAATGACTATGGCCTTGGGGAATCCACCTTATCTGCATCCCAGCACTGTCACCTATTAGCCATGTAGCCGTGGGTAAGTGACAGCTGGTCTGATCTTATTTTCTCTTAATTAAAATAATGATTGTGATACTTGCCACATGGTAAGGATACATAATCACATATTTTACATATTATTTGGCACATGGTAGGTGCTCAGCAAATGTTAAATTTTTCTTTCCCTTATCCCTTTACGAATGATGGTATTTTATGAAAATTTACATTTTGACTTTTTTATTTAAAAATTACAGTAATTGCCAGACAAAATGAACTGACTTGATTCAATTGAGTTTCTTCTTACACCTGCTGACAATATAACTCTATATAACCTTGTGCATTTTTTATAAGAAAAACTATACACAAAATATATACACCTATAAACTGTGTGTGTGTAGTCATTGTTGTTCAAGGTTGTTCTTTAACTCCTTATAAGGAGTTGATTTACAACTGGTGACAGATCTTTTTGGTAGTATAAACTTCCCAAGATAAATGATTTAGCTCTATAAGAGTATCATCAGAATTCTCTTATCTGTTATTCTGACATTAGATACAAAAGAAAAATGTAATTATCATGGAAGCACCCAAAGGGATGAAATAAAAAGAGGTATGCTAGACCTAAGCAAGGACACACTGTTCCTCTAATATTCAAACATGAAACTTTAATTAGGCTACTCTTTCCCTCTGGATGTTACGTTCTCTTGTAAAGTGTCATTCTCAAGTTTTGAGGACCCTATAGAAGTCCTTGAATAATCAGCAAGTAAATAATCAGCTAACAATCATCCTGAATAATTAGTATCCTGAGGAACCTTTGGGATTCCAGTCTATAAAAGGTGTCACCCCACGGACGAGAGAAAATATTGTCTGAGCATTGTATACACATTTTTTTTCATTTTTGCTCCTCTTGTTCCATATTATTCAGAGTAGCCTAACTGCTAAAACAACATCA